GAGAGTGGGCGAGAGGAGGAGGAGATGGGTTGATAGGGTTGTCGCTTGGCCCACAGAAGAGCCTTGCTGAAATTTTTCAGGTGATCATTGGCTGCAATTCGAAAAAAATCTCACCTTTTTTGGATTTTTGATATGAACAGCTAATACTTGATTAAGTTGGTAGTTAAGTATGTAAGAATTTGATATACATTGTCTTAGGTATTACTAAAGCTGCCGCTTTTTTGCTTATTATGTCAAGTATTAAGTAACTTGATTTAAATTGTTTTCTCCTGGATTGAATGGCTTATGAGCTTTTGGGTGTCTGCAGCTACTTATTTGAGGTGAGGCAGGTAATGCTATTTTCGAAGTATACATCATCTGTATCTTCTTTCTTATCTTAGTGAATTTATTTTTGCGCACCTTAGTCTTAGTTCATCTGGGTGTCTTAAATAGTATATATTCCTTGGTAATGGGAATTTTGATGATGTGATTCTGGGTATGGCAAGAGGCGGCAAAACCGCGTAAAAGCGAACATTTGGAATATAACTTTGAGATTTCAATTTTTAAGTTTTGTTTGTCTTGATATACTGGAGCATACATTTTTTTGTCTGTGTTGCTTGGGCAGATGCGAAGTTTGAATATGGAATCTGATGTGCTACTTGCAGTTAAATATTTTAATGTTTCTGTGTGGCAGATTCAATTCTTTGAGGAGAATATATCTGCAATTTTCCTTCTGTATAACATTTCAGTTTTCTATTAGATTTTCCATTTTGATCCATGTGTCAGCAAACATGTATGATGTATGTGCAAAAATTTATTCAATTTGAAGACTCCTAAGCAATCCATTAAATGGCGTCTTTTCTAGTACACATCAAGTAGTCATTTGTTTTGTAATTGTTAGACAAATGGATCGAAAATATTCAACATTATAAATTTTTTTTGTTCACATAGGGTTTACAATGTGGGCGAGTGGGATGGTATGGATTACCTGTTAGGGTCCCTCATGATGTATGGGAATAATAAAGCACTATGCTACTTATATGGTGGGTGTGTGCGCACACGCGTGGGTGGGTGTTTTTTTTGGTGTGTGTATTTGTTAGTCTCAGGTATACAATATTTAAAAGCATGAATTCACATGTTCAAACTTCAAACTTTGAGAATTCAACTACATAGTTCCAAATGTTTGTGGCTGTTATCTTGTTATATTTCCGAACCTGTAAGTAACTACTTTCTGAGTCTTAGCCAAACATTAATTGCCTAGTCCAAATGTTAGTGGCTGTTATTTATTTTGAACCTGAACTCGTATAAAGTTTTGAGTCTTATATTATAATCATTAATCACTTTGTTTATGAAGGCAATATTCTCAGACGACCAAAATTAATCATTTAAAACTTGGCTAAATGGTACTTAAATACCATGTTCACTATCTTTACACTTAAATACCATAAGTTGTAAAAAGTAGCATAAAAATACCTGAAGTTGTCCACCGTTAGAATTAGGCTAACACCATTTTGACAAAAATGCCCTCCATTAAAATGGTAATAATAAATTGAAGGGGTAGGTAAAATGGTAATTAAAGCAATAAATAAGTACAATAGTACAACAAAATTCCTATGGGCCAAGTATATGGGAATATGCCTCGGAATATTCTAATACTCATTTAACAGTAGGTAGCAATGTGCTACTTTTTGACAACTTAATGGTATTGTTATGCTAGTTTTTACAAGTTTGGGTATTTAAGTGTAAATGTAGTGAAACAATAGGGTATTTAAGTGTCATTAAGCCTTAAATTAACCATGGTATTTTCCATTGGCTTTGTTTGAATCCGAGGTCATAACCGATGACAATCTCACTTTGAGGATATGGGTCCTTTTAGCTGTTGGATTTATGTCTGAGATTCTCAACTTCATTTGCATTCAAAGTACAATTTATCATCTAAATTCATTTACCCCTTTCACTGCATGTGATTTGCGGATTCTTGAGAAGGAATCAAACTCTGATAAGATTGCTAACAATGTTTAAAAAAGCGGAAGCGCAAGGTGAAGTGCTAGACCCTTTGATAAAACGAGGCGTAAGCTTCAAAGCGTGAAGCGTAAGCTTCATGAATTTAAATATTTTAATTTTAAATTTGTAAAAATTATGAACATATAATATATAGTGGTGTGATAATTACAAGTATATATATTCATGTCTTGATTAGTAAATAAGAATTAAATATGTGAAGTATAGAAATGAAACATAATAAAGTAAGCTACATGCATAACTAAGTATTTTATTTATAGTTAAATAGCCATATTGAAAATATGTAGGGGCATTTTAATGTTAGTCAAAGATCCTTTTATGCCCTACTATCTAGTCTTCAACGTGTGCTTCAAAATAAAAGCACTTTATGAAGCGCGAAGCACACACTTCAATTATGCTTTAAGCGATAAGGCGTAAGCTTTAAGGGATAATAGGTTCACTCCTGAGTTTTGAAGCGTTTACCCTTCACTAAGTTGTGAAGCGAGTTTCAAAAAAGCTTTTTCAAACACTGATTGCTAATTACCAACTCCAAAGGACCAAAGCTTTGCTGTATTCTAGAAATGTATTTTGCACCGAAACGTGTTAGTAGACTCGAATCTCCACAGAGGAAACTAGGAATTTAATAAACTGAATACATTATTATTTCCTTCTTAATCAGATCCATTAGTTTCAAAAATTCAATATTTCTTGTTGCCCCTCCATTCGATTGAAGTTGGCTGCAATAAGCACTAAAGAGATTACACGCTTCAAAACCCAAGACATTCTTTATTTATTTTAACAACATAAACTAAGTTAACTCCATTGGTTAGGATCTTTAAAGGTGGACATAAAGAAAATGATATGAAGTAGCGAAATGAGTATACCTGGTAGAAATAAGTAGCGAAGTAGGCGCTTCTGGTGGTCTTGCAGCGTGTTCATGTGCAGCAAATTCTAACACTTGATTTATGAAATTTTTTTAAGACTAATCATAAGTAAAGAAGCCTTAGGAGTGCCTTTTTTAAGTTTAAATCCAAGGAATCCGAGAATACAATTTGTGCCCACTGCCCAGTAACTGGCCATTAATACATGTTACAGAAGGCACCAGACTGTATTTAAGCCCACAGTATTAGTTTTCTCTATTAAAACAAAGTAACCAAATTTAAGCTATTTAACAGGAGGTAACTTCTTGAATATAAAAATATACTTAGAATTTGTGAAAATATGCATGGCCTACAATGAAATAACCATATAATATTGTAGTACAATAAATAGGATACCCCGAATAAATAAAAAGAAAAATCTGCTGCATGAAAATAACAAATTTAAAAACCTTGCTATATAGCAACATTCATAGTCTCTTAAAGAACTTGTTTTTTGATTAACCACATAGTCATTGACTTTACCCACCCAACTTGCACGTACCAAACCAGTTCAATGTTGTGCAAAAAAGTAGATACATTAGTATACTAGGCTTCTCTGAGGATGCGGTTTCATACATGCATATGTTTTGGTATTACTTTTATGATCTATATTTTGGTAAAATAAATTAAATCACCTTGAATTGTGTATTATTTTCAATGTTACATTAAACGCTGGGCGCTTCTAGGCGTCGGATTTGGGGCCCAATGCTTAGTCGCCTAGGCAGGCGCCTAAGCGGTTTCTAGGCGTTTTTTTTCTTTCTTCATTTAAGTGGTGGTTCATTTAAGTGGTGGTTGATGAGGTTTTCCTGAAGGTTGGAGGAGGTAGTGGAGGTGTTCATATTTGGTGGTTAATGGAGTTTGGTGTAGGCTACGACACATAAAATCACAATCAAGGCCTACAGGGTGCAATCCACGTAAGCAGACAATGCTCACCTAAACCCTCGTAATATCTAGGTGGGCAGCCTAAATACCGTCTAGATGCTAGTTAGGCGGCCTAGGTACCGCCTAGGCCTAGGCGTACGCCTAAGCGGACTAGGCGAAGGTTTTTTAAAACAGTGATTATTTTAATGACATTTAATGAATTATCTCGCAAATGATGCTTTCTAAATGTGGAATTCAAATTAAATATTTGAAACTTATTATTAGTTCGTTTAATTTCTTTTATCGCAGTTTGAACTTTTCTTTAGTGTTTCAAACTGTTCTTGAAAAAAGGAATATTAGGGCCATCTTTTATAGGTAACTTATTTATCTTAGCTGCATCAATAATTACAAAAGAAAAATACTTTTTTTCCTTCCATGTATCTTTAGTTTGTCATGTTTTCATCTTCAGATCAACTCTTACCATGTTGGTATATCATCATATAAGTGCTAATAAGCTCTTTCGTGCAATTTTTTGAGTCCAATCTCAGTCACGACACTTTAGGTTGTTCTAAAAGAGTAACAAAAATACGCGTAACTAGTGGAGCCTTTTCTTCCCTTTAGTTCTTAGTGTACTCTAAAGAGTCTAAACTGAGTAAACTCTAAACACATCTAACTATTTGAGAGAAGTATTTAGTATCACACAATTACTAAATAAAGGTGTTCATACCATTGATGTTGGAACAAAGCCAGATTTTGTTGCTCCAATGCCTTTGTTATGTACTCCATGCTACTGTGAACTGTGAAGCTTAGCCTTGAGCCTTAATTAAGGAGTTCGATTTAACCAGATAATCACCTAGACCAAAATTTCTGTGAGGCATTGGGACTTCTATATGCAACTTCATCATGAATGGACAGATTAAAATTAAATAGGGTCTAAAATTATCTCCAATACTGTTTGCTTTACTTAAATAAAGAAATTTGGTTTACCTAAATAAAGAAAATGACCTAGAATATGAACAAGCATACAGGAAACCAGATAATACAGATGGAACCTATGATTCTCGGCTAAGTAACAATAAGGAAACATGGATGAGGGAAGAATGAAATAGGAGAGTTTGTGAAGAAAGAGCTGAAATGTGAAAGGTTGAGCGAAGAAGTGTAAAAAAGTATTGATGGTTACAAGTATGGGACGACTGCTATAATTTCTTTCCATACTATTTGTTTCATATATTTTCGCTGTTTAGAACGCCAAGTAAGTTATTGGCTGAGTAACTAGCGACTTTAAGTTTTTAATAGTATTAGAATCTAAATGATGGGCAGCAATAGCTCGGTGACAAGAATCATTACTTTATGCTCATAGAATCATAATAATCAGGTATGCCTTTTCTCATCAAAATAGATTGAGCTATGGATTAGATAGGTCTATGAGACGGTTTGTAATATCTTCCTGACAGATTTAGCTAGTCTAAGTCAGTGTTAAAAGACCAGGAGGGTCTTTGCGGTGGCACCAAAGAAGAAGAAGGATAATATCCTGTTCTACAGGGTGCTGCTAAGTCTTTCACTTAAAAAAAAGCCACCTCATAAATGCCTTGAGGATCGTGTGTGAGGCATACAAGTCCATGAGGCATATATGAGCACATGACTTACCTTACTTGCGCCTTTTACACGAGGCATTTGCCGGTTACACTAATATCGACAGATGAGGCCATCCATAAAAATCATTATACAAATTTCAAACTTGTCATTCATGTGACTGTATATGAATATATGTACATGTTTAGCAACTGTAAAATTGTTGAATAAAACATTATAGAGATCAGTAGGTTATTATAGATATATGCACCTTACATTGTCATTCAAGCATTAAATTATAAACTTATTTGTCATTAGCATGATTTGGATATGTTATAAATTTAAGGAAGTGTGTCCATCCAGTATCCGAGAGTCCATTGCATGTGTCACAAGTCATCTTCTATGAAGTATGCGTGAATAAAGCCTTTATGTCCAATTACCTTTTTAGGGCTTCCTAGATTCTCATATCTGAATCTTGCCCTGTACCATGACCTTTTTATTTTATTTTTAATTTTAGCTTAGATTCCCTTCAACACTTGTTGTGTTTATCTCTATGTTGTTTTCATCCTGCGACTTCCCTGTTGTTATCTTGTTGTAACCGAGGTCTGAAATATAGCTATACTGATACATGTTTCTCTATCATATCAAATTTTAAACATGCTGATCTGACTTGGCTGCAACCTAGCAATAGCGTTGATGTTGGCCAGTAATGTCAAAGCATTTATATATTGGAGAAAACAAAATAAGAAATCATTGATTACAATGTTTCTGATTAAATTGGCTTATTTCATGTACCAACAAGTCTGATGAGAAATTGGCAAAACCACCTAACCTCCCGAGACCGATAAAGTAAAGGCAAACCAAAACTTGCAACTGACCTCGAGATCTCAATCTTAGTTACAACCCTTCTCTCACATTTTCCAGTTTTACATTCTTTAACTCTACGTACCTTACATTCTTTTACCTACCTTTCATGCAAGATTAGAATTGAAGAACTGTTCATTTTTTATGTTTATCCTAACTTTTCTTTGTGAAGAAGCATCTGGGTCTCCATATAAAAAAGGATAAGCATAACCTTTCTTAGATTCTCATACATTTCCTTTCATTTGACTGTTACTTGCCTTAATTTGACTGTTACTGTTTTTAACCTTAGTGTTATAACACACGGGCAAATAATCACAAGACACTGGACTCAATCCCTTTCTAAAGCTATTATCCTGTGTTCTTATGGTGAAATGTTGCTGATGTTCATTGCAGGATGATACTGTTAGAACCACTCCAATCCTTGAGTATCCATCTCGTCCAGCAAATCATAATGCATTTGACAGTGGTGAACCAGTACGTTCTTCTGAAAGTCATCTTACTTTTCATAATGATACGGCTTCTCCAGGTGGGCTGCGACTGAGTAGAAATGCCCAGAATGTTGTTGGACTTCAAAAGAGGGCATCTCAAACTTTTGCGTCTGTTTTGGCTTCTTCTGTTTCAAAGAACAAGACACCTGATGCGCACCAAGTGGGAACGGCTTCTAGCCCTTCCCTCCCAAATGCAGGTGTGCAGCTGGGCATCAATGATCATCAAATTGACAATGGTTCACACTCGCCCAGTGGTGCAACATCTGACCGAGTTGACTCTACTGATCTTTTGGCTGCTTTATCACACATGAAACTGTCGGGCACTAATGCAGTGGATGCCAACGACATGTCGCACTCAAATCGCAATCGAGAAATTGAGGCTCAGCAGAATTTTTTCCTTGACTTGAGAAGTTCTCAGAGCCATGTTAAGCAATGTTCATTCCCAAAAGATTTGGAGTCACGACATTCGAGTGTCTCCTCTATCTCAAAATCAGCAATATCCTCTTATCTTGATTCCTCCAACAGCAATATAGGCTCAGCAGACTTTAACAACACAGTAATGAGGTCAAGTGCGCCAGTTGAACTTCACAGATCTCCTGTTAGTTCTAACTCATATCATCATCAGAAAGCTGCTACTACAAATGCAGCTGTTCCGAGCTATGGATTGAATGGTTACTCAACTAATCCAGTTTTATCACCAATGTTGGCGAATCATATTGGCACGGGAAATTTACCTCCTCTCTTTGAGAATGCTGCTGCCGCCTCTGCAATAGCTGCTTTAGGTGTGGATTCTGGGGTACTTGGCAGTTTAAATGTATCTACAGGATTACATAATCCTACTCGTATTGGAAATCACTCGGCTGCTGCTCTCCAAATGCACCTCGCTCATATTCAGTACTTGAAGACAGCAGAAGCACAAGCTGCTGCCAACTTCGTTGATCCATCCATAGAGAGGGGCTACATGGGTGGTGCTTATCTGGACTTGTTAGGAATGCAGGAGGCCTACCTCGGTGGTTTGCTTCAACAGCAAAAGCAATATGGTGCTCCTTTCCTAAATAAATCTGGGCCTGCTAGTCCTGGTGGTTACTATGGCAATCCTGCTTTTGGCCTGAATATGTCATTTCCGGGAAGCCCTTTAGCAAAGTCTATTCCTTCTTCTCCATTTGGAGCTGCCAGTCCTGTAAGGCTTGCTGAACGTAACCTACGGTTTCATTCTGATGTGAATAGTTATGCAGGAGGTTTTCCATCCAGCCTGCTGGAGGAGTTCAAAAGCAGCAAGGCTAGGTCCTTTGAGCTTTCTGATATTGCAGGCAACGTTGTCAAATTCAGGTATGCATAATCATATAAGAGTATTTAACTTTATGACGCTGAATCCATATGCGTTACTGAACTCTAATGTATAGTTTACTATGCAAAGATTGAAGAGAAAAAATAGACATTCTGAAAATAGTTGTCCTTTATATTGCGTTAATGATGTTTTTTAGACCTCTTAGCTCCTGCCTCATTTCTTCAGTCCCTTCCCCTATGTATCTTCAAGGGCATTGTTGTTGGAGAAACCAGTGCTGTCAATGTGTGGAATATATGTATATTAAGTGGATATAAAAGGAAAGCAAGGAATCGAGGCTTAAGAACAAAAAAGAAAATATCATAGTGCATTTAGCATATATTGCATTTCCACCTGCATCTGTCTTGGCTATCGAAGGATCTAAGTGCCGGATGTCGGATACACGATGACTAGGGAAAAATCATATATGGGATAGCGAATATCGGACCGAGTAAATTGCAAGTGCCCTAGTTGATGAAAATATGCATGTCTCAAGCTTATAGCAATGGCAGACTTATTTTAAAGGAATATTTTTTAGATATTGCCAACCTCAGAAAATTATAAAGCTAAGTTAAACTTGTTAATGGGGATCCACACATAGTGGTACTTGAACTTTTAAGGAATGAACATAAATAATAAATAAAGAAATAAAGAACCATAATGCTCTTATAATCATGTTTCATGTTTGAGACCTGAAATATCATATCTGGAACATGTCGGGCAAAATGTTGGGTAAACAGGATATAGGCTGAATCTACTTTATGGAATTGTTCTGAATGCTCAAAAACATGTTTGACATTTTTGGACATGCCAGGAACACTTTGAAGTTAAACAATGCAGCTAAGTGATCTAGCATTGGCAATGCACTGTTGTACCATACTGTATCATGTTGGTTGATACTCATCCCCATGCTAGTGCACTGGTTAGGTAAGGTTAGAAACTGCTTTTTGTCTTGGGTACTATTTCACCGTCCTATTGGGTAATGTAGTTTCTCATTGATATCATTGGCAAGAAACTGCTGCATCAGACTTTATGCAGTCCTGAATGCAGAGTTGTGCCATGCCCTTATCTTTCTATAGCTGTTTCTCTCCATCATGCGGGGAGCATGATTTTTTTACTTCTGGATGTTGCTTTTCTTTTTTCTTTCCACTGTTTACTAAGCCTAGTTATATTCAAACGGTTTTGTACATTCAGTGCTGATCAGTATGGAAGCCGTTTTATACAACAAAAACTTGAGACAGCCACAACTGAAGAGAAAGACATGGTTTTTGAAGAGATAATGCCTCAAGCTCTTTCGTTGATGACTGATGTTTTTGGGAATTATGTGATCCAAAAGGTATTATATTGCAATTCTTTTTTGTTGACTGCCTGGTAACCTTTGAGGTTCATTCTAACATTCTTCATATTTCAGTTCTTTGAGCATGGAAGTGCATCTCAGATCAGGGAGTTGGCAAACCAGCTTAGTGGTCATGTATTGGCATTGAGCTTACAGATGTATGGCTGTCGTGTTATCCAGAAGGTACTTCTAACAGTGGTTTATGTATATTCAATATACTCTGATTGGTAGTAGTCGCATTTTGCTCTCTATTAACTCCTTGAACGGCACTAAGCCACAAAGATAGTCTAGTCTATCCAATGTGGCTCCATAGCCTTTTTTGCAGAAGTTGCTAGATTCTTGGAACCATTATGATAGTTTAGCTTATTTTTAAATATTCTCTCTTTTAACGGATGGGTCCAGTGAAGTGTACAATGCCTGTGAAGGGGCCTGCTCTGGGTTTGACAATGTTTTCAATAAAACAATGACTGCTGGTGACCGTTGAATGTTTGTAGGACTGTTATTAAGATGTTTAAAGCTTGCAGTTTCCTAATGGCCTGCAAGTATTATGGTATACAGATAACATATTGAACAAAAGTTAGAAAACACGAACCTTGAAAATGTCTGCATTTAGTTAAGAACCCCCCTCCCTCCCCCCACCCCCCTTTTTTGCGCTTGTTGAGAGTTAAGATGTAGGCTAATGTAACCCTAAATAAACATAACTTTGAGTTCTCCCAGAACATTTTCTAGGAATAGGTTTAATATATTTATATCGTGAATTGGTTGACCACCCATGATTTTGCTTGAGCCAGAGAGCCCAAATCTTCAAGTGAGATGTAAGCCAACACGGTCATTGTGTCACTATGTAACCCTTCAAATCATTACAGTTGATAAGAGATGTATCTCTGACTGGAGATGTAGATGGAAGACTAATATGTATGTTGCACTTAAGTGTGGAGTGTGGACATTTATTCATCTGCTATCCCTTTCAGTCCGACGATAAATGAACTGATAATTGACTATATATATATAATTTCTAATTTGCAATTGAAGATGGTTCATGGAGGTTCTGTATGTGAAACCTTTGATGCAGGCACTCGAAGTTATCAATTTGGATCAGCAGACTAAGATGGTTGCGGAGCTTGATGGCCATATTATGCGTTGTGTACGTGATCAAAATGGGAACCATGTTATCCAGAAATGTATAGAATGCATCCCTGAGGACGCAATTCATTTTATCATTTCATCCTTCTATGATCATGTCGTAACATTATCGACTCATCCATATGGCTGTCGTGTCATACAGGTAAGTTTTGTTCTTAAACTGTGTATATGTCGTGTCATACAGGTAAGTTTTGTTCTTAAATTGTGTATATCTTCTATGGACATATGGCTGTTCCTTGGTCTTGTATGCTTCACTTTACTTTCTGGGTCTTATATGCTTCATTTTATGTTCAGTCACATGTAGTGGTTTTGTTGCCTATTACAGAGGGTATTGGAGCATTGCCATGATCCTGAAACACAGAAGATTGTAATGAATGAGATTATGCAATGTGTTTGCTTGCTGGCACAGGATCAATATGGAAATTATGTTGTCCAGGTTTGTGATTATTTGGAAACTCAGTTCATCTTTCTCGAAAGGCTCTTTCCTTAGCTTCTTTCTTCAGGAATGTTTTCTGGACTATTAGCATTTTGCTGTTCCATGATTACTGATTAACAAGCGTAATTTGTTTCTCCCCTACTTCGTATATGTGTGGATTTACTTTTATCTGCCTGGGTAGCCAACTGACATTAAAGTTTTGAGTCTTGTTTACATCCTCACTTATTATTGGCAGTTGTTGCTTAAACTGAATTGATTTGATCAGGATTATTTTTTTCTATAACTAGACATCATAATTGAGTCATGAATTATATAGTTTCATAAATTTGTTGCCTTGTTGAGTGAATCTTGCTTGGACATATACATATTAGAATGATTTCATGTAGAAATAGCTCCATGTGATGTCATATTGAGCACCTTCATCTAAGCATTGTAACTTGGCACAACCATCAGATGATTTTTCTGTAATGCACTCAGATTATAACCACATATTATTGGGGTTTTTGGTTTGATTTTAAAAGAATTAAGTGGCACTTTCCACAAAGGATAACTTCTCTTTTCTTTTTCTTGCTAGGCCCAAGTTATTACTATTATTAGTTGCCTTCTGCAATCTCTGAAATGAGGATTTGTTACAGTAAACTTGAGCACGTTCTGAGATTGATAATCTTACCATGTAGTGGTGAAAAGATTGAAGCAAGAGAATTTGGGGTAAACTTGAAGGAACATGAATTGAGCTAGTAAACATAAAAGATATCCTTATTTGATTTCATGGAATAAATGCAATGGATAGGTATTGAACTGTATTTTGAAGGAGCTCTATTGAAAAGAAGGTATACTAGCCATTTGGAGAAACTGGTATCACTACCCATCAGGGCCAGTGTGTGCTGTGATCCATAGTCGGCGAACTTCCAAAAGAAACTGTGTTCCAATGGTAAAGATGCACAGAATACATGAGCTTATTCATCTCGTATTCACTAGTAATCTTGAATTAAATTTACGTAGTTAGGCTTTAGTATAATCCTTTTGCCACATTGTTTTTATTTTATACAAGCTATCCACTCATCTTTTCACAGATTTCTCCTCTTGTCTGTCTTCTACGAAACTTAGATCTCTATATAGCCAGTTTAATATTCTCGTAGTTCTAGCTGAATGACTGCTTCTTGGAATATACCGGTGTTCTTGTTGTCAATGCTTTAGAGCTATTATTATGCACATAATATATACGGTCTCATTAGTACCATGTTGTCATGTATTTGATTAATACTTTCTTATTGTCAAAAGGGTTAAAACATCCATACAACTTGAGCATGTATACTTTACAGTTTACACAATATGCCTTTATGGATCTCAGGCTTACCTGACTTTTACTGTGGCAGCATGTACTGGAGCATGGAGAACCTCATGAACGGTCTGAAATCATTAAGCAATTAGCTGGGCAGATAGTTCAGATGAGCCAACAGAAGTTTGCTTCAAATGTCGTTGAGAAGTGTCTGACATTTGGTGGTCCTGTTGAACGTCAAATATTGGTGAATGAGATGCTCGGTACCACTGATGAAAATGAGCCACTGCAGGTTTGTTATCTCCTCTAGTGAAAACGGGAAACTAATCCTCTAAAGGGTCCTTTATAGAAAATAATATATGAGGAGCTAGGGGATGAAGACCTCTGGCTTAGCCCGAATCATGATGCATACATAATTAGCTATTAGTGCAATCACTACTGCTTGCAAGTGTAGACTGCATGGGTAACAACTGCACTGATAGGACATTACTTGCTGAACTGATAGATAATAGTGTTATTTGTATCGAGACTTGTGCTAGGCCGGTATCTCCGTCCCCTATTTCCCTGTATGATTTTCTATAGAGGGCCCTCTGTATGATTATTTTTTCAGTGAAAGGCATGACAACTAAATGAATAATTTAGTGAATTTGTTGGGCAAGATGATTAATGCTTTCTTACATTCTCTATTTGTTTTGGTTTAAGAACATATTGTTATTCTTTGGCTTATATCTCTCACATAAGAAAATAGTCCTAAATCTTCATAAGGCTTTTGTCTACACATTTCATACAGTTAATGTAAGATATTTCATTTGTCATTCTCTATGCATTGAGGTCTAAATCTTCCTCTTACACATTTCTTTCCATCTTCTTGATTCTCGAGATATATTCCTAATATCACCATCTATAAACATTATTTTTGTTTAGTTAGTGCATTTTAGAACTTCTTAATTCTTGTAATACAACTTTGCTGACACATGACATTAGCTACTTTGGCAATTACATTAGCACCTCAATCGAGAAACACATATCTGATCAGAATGCTTTAAATGAACTACCATCATTTGTGGAGAGCTCAATTTCTTGGTTTGTAGGTTCCTGATTACCAACTTTAAATGCATTGCAAAAGCCTTACTTATGATGCTTGTTCATTCTCTAAATGGTTGTCAGGCAATGATGAAAGATCAGTTTGCAAACTATGTTGTACAGAAAGTCCTGGAGACCTGCAACGACCAGCAACGTGAGCTGATTCTTTCTCGTATAAAGGTTCATCTAAACGCACTGAAGAAATATACTTATGGAAAGCACATAGTTGCTCGTGTAGAGAAACTTGTAGCAGCTGGAGGTATGTAAATATAGTCTTCTCTCTCCTTTTGGTATTTATCTCAGTAAATTACTAAATTCAGTAGTTCTATGTCTCCCCTTGAGAGGGTGTTTGGTAACCAGAAAGTAAATGAGAAATGGCTCAAACACTGGAAAGTGGCTCCCCTTTCTATTTTTCACTAGTATTTCTTGTGCACGCTTTGTGCAAGTGGGGTGTTAAAGATAGTGGTGGTTAATAGGGGTAGTTATTTGAAGAACACGGGATGGATGGAGTTAAAAGTAATAGTCTTTTGAGTTTTCCAAGCTTACCTTTTCATGATTCTTGATTCTTAAACTATGTGTAAATTATGAGGACATTTTATGGAATTATTAGAATTTGTGACTCACATCGGGGTAGAACACCAAAAAAAAAAAGATTTTTCTTAAATAGTAGTAATATATAATATATGTTTGTCAAATGAAAACTGACTGGACAGTAATTGGAAACTTTAGGGCGTCATATCATTATCGTAATCTTTCACTTTCTCCAGATCTTTAGAAAGTGGATGGAAAGTGAATTGGGTCGGAGAAAGAAATTAACTTATATTCTCATTCCTACCATTTCATGGTAAGCGTTTAGCCTACGTTCACTTTCCATGGAGACCGAACAAGCCATAAAAAAGGTAAATGTCTACTCAACTGTCACCTTACCTTCCTTTATTCTCGCTTTCTATCAACCAAACAAGATTTACAAATCGAAAGTCATGATAAAGAAAATAATTTTTCTTATACTTCTCGCTTACTTCTTGGTTCCCAAACCCCTCCTAATGCTGAAGTTAACTGAGAATTATCCATAGAAGTTCGCTCCATTTATGTTATGTTTAATTGAAATAAGGTCTTGATTTTTTGCAGAGAGAAGAATCGGACTTCAGCCCTCATATCCCTATTAGATGGTGTAGGAAAGTTGTACAGTAACCGAAGGCAGTGCGAGGGCGTTCTTCTATCTATCTGTCTACCTATATATCTATAGTATCTATGTTAGTTAAAGTACAAGCTAATCCAATAAAAATGTAAGCCTGTATTGAGAATTGTACATTTTTAGTCGAAGGCTATAGCAAATATTGACAAAGCTACAGGGAGAATGCAGTATCACATATGGGTGTAAAGGAACGGTAAAGAAAAGATCCTGAGGCAAATGGGGACTGTATAAATGTTGCAGTATCGAAAGGGGTCTGTTGTTTAGAAGCGTCGAGGGTTTTATGTTCTCGTAGAGATATTGGATGTTACAAACCTATAAACAGTTTTTTTTTTTTGTTCAGTTTAATCTATTTAGTTTAAGGTATACATCGTCATGTATATGGGCTTTCTTTGGACCGTTAAGATATTGGAGGTTTTGTACGATTTCCTAAATTTAGGAGGGTGTTATATGATTTACTAGCTTCAGGGGTTTGTTGCCAAATCCTCTTTAAAGTTGAAGGTGGATTTGTGAAGCTTACCTTGGGCGTTCACAATAATTTTGATGCCTTTAGAATGCTAACGAGTTCTTTTGACCCCTGAAATTTGAAGCCTGTTTACTGCAAAGCTTCTCTCTTTCTTACGTTCTGATTTTTTCCCCCCTCGGATGAAACCATGTATACTTATTTATAGCGACTGTTTTATTTTCCCATTGACTTCTTTAATGGTCTTGGTCCATTGTATTAAGGGTGCACCTAAGAATTATTAATGTAGGAGCATTAATTAATCCGAGAGCATCCGAGTTGTTATGTTTCCCGTTTTAATGATTATTCGGTATCTAATCCTGGAAGCATGAATGAGTGTACGTAGTAGTAGAAAACTACTATGTTTCTCATCTACATACGTACATTCTAACATAATTTAAGAGAGGTCATAAATCTTAAAGACAAAGATAGATGAGCTAGAATGCTTAAAACATGATTGGAGCAGTTCCTTTCATGATAATCAAAGCTGTGTCTTGTTTATCTCATCATGTACTTTTCTTCAAGTATAGTAAGGCAAAGACGTTAAAACAAATGTAATCTTGGAATTAATACACAATAAATCAAATTACAGAGGGAGATCAAGCCCCTTGCCAACATCCACACCAATCATCTGAAGTATACCTTTGTGAAGTACCTGAAACGAAGAAAAGAAAATAAATAAATAAGCATGAAAAACATCAGCTTAAACCAAAAAAAAAAAAAAAAAAAAAAAAAAAAAAAAAAAAAAAAACAGAAAATGAACTCACCAACTCAACGATGAAAGTTCCGATGAGACCCATCATGCAAGCTCTAGAGTTCCAAACCTCTGCGGTCCTCGTGAACCCAAGGAAAGGCTCTGAGAGCTTTGGCTCCACTTTGGGCACCTCCACCTTTGAAAAATTCGAACACTACCCTTACTAATTTTATACGTAATAATACACGTCACGATAATGCACTTACAACTTTCTACTGCTCCTAATCAAAATATCGTTAATTAATTAGCTCTCTCTATATATATGGGAGATTTTAACTTACTCCTTGAGGAAGCTTTGCAGCTCTGACGGTGAAAGTGCTAATCGGCTTTGACAAGCTGAGAGCTGCAAGATTTGGTTTGGGTTTGAGGCTTCTGTGAAGGGGTTTTGGTGAGAGCTGGAAAGGGGATGAGGTGCTCGTTAGGGCTGGAGTCGCTGCCATTTTCTCTCCCTCTTCTTTGTCTGCGGAAGTGTTCCGCTCCTGTTAATCTTCTGGCGCGCTGTCCCTGGCCATTGATTTGGTCATCTTATCTTCGAGGAGAGTTTTTGTCTATAGCCCCTCCCTTTTGGCTCGACTTCTTGAAAAACCCTCGTGTACTGGTTTTGAACTGGGGGGGAAGGACAAATTTTGAAAATCGACACATTTACAAAAAAAAAATTGCAGTAATTATACCAGAGGTTCAAAGCTATATTTAATTCTTGTGACAGTTAGAATTATGAAACTTTGCATTATAAATGAATGTTTATTTGAAACATACTTTCACTAAATTATTTGTTTGATTAAAATTTCCAATAGCGTCAAGGGAATGAATGAACTCAAATAAACTGTAAAGTGCTTCATTATCGGTATTTTTTTTTTTTTGCATTTTTTTAAAGAAAATACCTGCTTCTAAGGTTTTTTCATATAAAATTGATGCTCATGTTTTTATTTTGTTTCATCATTATCATAAAAGGGATAAATCATGTAACAGGCAAAGCTGAAAATTAGAAAATGGAGAAAATTGTTCGCGCACCGATTACTTCCAGTGCCAACGTCAACAAGCCAAAAACTAGAGGATTAATTTGAGCTTCTTTGGATACGGATATATAAACTGTTTGTGATCAAAAGTCAGTGATATTTTCACTATATTTTTGACATTAAATAGTATATTTTAAATAATTATCAGAGGCAACAACGTTGCCCCCCAAAAAAAAAAAAAAATCCCATAACCATTCCCCTTGGTGGGCTAACAGTGGATGAACAGCCGAATCCACAACCCACGCACGTGTCATCCTGATTTCGCACGTGTACCAAAAGCAGCAAAGCACGTGTGTCAAGAAATCGGGAGGTGGCGCGAAAGCCTCGCTAACTTCTTCGGCCCACCATGTTCCTCTCTCGAGCCACAAAAAGAAGGCCTTTCCTTGCTAGTTTAAAGCCCGATGCAAATAATTCGAAATTAATTATTTTGCTAAAACAAAAAGGGAAATTAAGAAGAAAAAGAAGAAGAAGCATGCAGGCTACAAGGGTTCCTAAAGAAGAGGCAGTTGATAGAGAGGGGCTCAAATATGTTGAGAATCCCGCTGGTGAAAAACTTCTTCTATCTGGTAATTTTTTTTTTTAAATTAGTTTTTCTTAGCTTTTTCTATGTTTCGGCAAAGTAATTGAAAATGGTTGAGGAATTGATCGATGTGGAGTAATTGTTGTGCGCAGCGGAAATTTCGGCAGAGTTTCTGGTGCACAATAAGAGAGAAAGATCGATAAGAATTCTTGTTTCTCAAAGGGAACAAGAATCTGAAAGCCTAATATCCCATCAAAGTGGGATATTTGCTCTTCCTCTCGTCAGCTCTAGGACTGCGCGTCGAGGGATCCTAAAACTATTACAATGGCCACAAACTCAAACAATCAATTTTACGTGGTTCGGCAAACTGCCTACGTCCACGGGGCAAGGAGGGGGAGATCTACTATTAGAGAGAAATTACAATAGGTTTACAATCTCACAAAATAAACCCTCAAACTAACTCTCTAACTTCTCACAAAAGACTCTCAAAAGAATGCAATAACCCCTCTCAAATTCGGCTCTATTTTTCTCTCTCAACACAGCCGTCTTTTCTCTGTTTTTGCACTCTGCACACAATAGCCTTTTCTCCCCTTTTCGTACTTGCACCCTGCTTCACGCTGCCAAAGAACAAAAGAGAAAACACTCTTTATTTCTCCCTGCACTCCTACACAGCACGCCGCCCCAAGTACAAAACTGGTTTTCTCCCACTTTTGCTTGCACACCTTTGCCCTAGGGACTTTTGCTATTATTTATAGCAAGTGAATCGGGTGGGCCTAGCTAATATCCGGTGGACCTAGCTAATATCCGCTGGACTTAGCTCTTCATGGAATTGCTTTCACGTGCACTCTTCACGCGGTTTCTTTCCAGCACTTGCACACTCGTGGCCCCCACAAGAAACACGTTCACAATTCTCCACCTCGGTGAAGTTTTCCCAAAACTGAGCCGACACCAACCAAACCAAATGCCTCACTTGTTGTGTCCAGTACACTGTGAAACAATTCACGATAACAGACTCAATCCATAACAAGTCGAGACCCCAAATGAGAATCCGAACACTCTCCCAAACGTCGATGTCTACTCACCAAATCGATCTCACCCCCATCAAATAATCCAACCCGGCTGCATCATAAAGACTGCCTACGTATCCTCTTGCCCAAGGAATCAAGCCGAACGTAGTTCACCCAAATGGCCGCTAACGACCTCAATCCAATAGAAGAGTTCGCAACCCTTCTCTAATATCATCAACTCTGCGGCTGATAGCACCTCCAATGGCCTCAAACACCTCCACCTGAGGTGAACCAATGGCCATATCCAAAATATGTCTGCCAGCTGCACTCGATTCAAAACCTAATTCATCATCTGCACATAAATCCAAATGACTCCCACGCTGTGTCACCTCAGCTGGAATCCCAACCAATGCAGAATGATCTGGAGTAATCTTTACCCAATGTGGAGTAGCATCACTCTCCACCCGCTGTGATACCTCTAAGGTCTGTCCAAAACTCTCCACCTGCTGAGAGTCAATTGGCTTCCTCATGGAAGCCTCAACCAAAGTGACACTACCAGACCTATCTTCCAATGGAGTTTTACCTCCAATCACAGCAGTTGACAACTCTTCAATAGGATGACCCAAATATGTCGAAGCCTCTGTCCAGAAACTTTTCTGCAGACCATTGCTTGACAACAAACACCGATCCTCCTCCAGCAAGGCACGGTTCTCCAAATTTGTCACCCTATCTAGCTGCCCCAAGATTTCCTTTCCAACGAAGTGTCTCGCAATGCCGTGAGCTCGGCTCCAATGCAGAAACAGGTCCATCTTGTACCTCCCAAGGTCCATCTTGTACCTCCCACCAGAATGGAGTACCTTCACCTTTCTGTCTATTACACACTTCTTCAATCTGTTGGAAACTACTAGGACTTTCTCCAATGGGGATTTGGTTGCAACCCAAACACGCCTAGAACAGCCACCAACAAAGGAAACCAAACTCCTATTACCTCCCAATAATGCCCCCTTGGAAGGCCCCCAAACATCCACGTGAACTTCTCCAGAACGACCCTTAGCACGGTGAATAGAGGTGCCACACTTCACCTCGGTCTTCTTGCTCACATCAACATGTTCACTGGACTTCAAACTGCAGGTCTTTGCACCCTCTTTCAATCTATGCGAGGAATCAATACTGGAATGGCCAAGCCCCAAATGCCGCAGTCTAGTCGAATCAACAGAAGTCGTCAGCTCTCCACCTGCCACTATACCTCCAGTCAAGTAATACAGGTTATTTCTCCTGACGCCCTTCATCAAAATACGAGAGTCTCTCGCAATCTCGAGAACCATGTCCTCAACACGAACCTTCAGACCCTCTCCAACCAAAGCTCCAATCGAGATCAAGTTCTTCCTCAAAGAAGGAACATATCTCACATCGTTTAACTCTCTAACAGTCCCGTCAAACATCTTTATGCGAATTCTTCCTATCCCAAGGATCTGGCATGCACGGTTATCAGCCATGTACACCACACCACTATCCACCAGCTTCTCAAAACTGGAGAACCATTCCCTTCTAGGGCACACATGATAGGTCGCACCACTATCCAACATCCATTCAGATTCCTCCGAATAGCTATCTGTAGGACTGATAGAAAGCGAATAAATAGAAGAGTCAGAATTATTACCATCCGATACGATGTTTGCTTCTGATGATGGTTGCTTCCCTTTTCCCTTCTGCTTATTCTTCATCCATTCGTCGAGCTTTGGGCAGTCTTTCTTCCAATGACCAGTCTCCTTGCACCAAGCACACTGATCTTTTCCAATTGTAGGATGCCCTACTCTAGACTGTGACTTCCAATTCTTCCGGTTTGGATTCTTCCCTCTTGCGACCAACGCCTCTGCTACCGACTCAGTCGAATTCTCCTTATCCTTCTTCCGAAGCTGATAATTCACCAATGCAGCAGTGACCTCACTATACGAAATGGATGCCTTCCCATTAATAAGAGTAAGAACGAAGGTCTCATATTCCTCGTCGGGCAAGGAACTCAACAACAGCAACGCCTTGTCCTCATCTTCAATCTTGACATCCACATTCGCCAAATCCGCAAGAAGCTTTGTGTAGTGATTCATGTGATCTCTAATTGAGGTTCCCTTCTTCAACTGGAAATGATAAAGTCTCCTCTTCAAATGCAAGCGGTTCTCAACACTCTTTGTCGGATACTTGCTTTCGAGAATCTCCCAAATCTTCTTCGCAGAAGTCTCATTCATCACATCATATTTTAGATCTTGAGTCAAACAAGACCTAATCACACCACACGCCGTTCGATTCATCTTCTTCCAAACCTTCTCTTCAATCTCATCTGGCTTGCCATCTAACTCCAAGGTATCCTCCAAATTCTGCGCGTTCAGCGCATCCAAAACCTCGCATCTCCATAATCCAAAGTTGTTTGTGCCATTAAATTTCTCCACATCTATCTTCATAGAATGGATATTCAAACTCTGAATGGTCTTCACGCCAGAAGCACCGCCCTCGACACCCGAAGCACCTTCTTTCCCCGACATCTTACGCACCAACGAACGAAGAATAGATCCAAAACTAAAAAGATAGAGTCTTTACCAAAAGATCCCACCTTTATCACCAACGAAGTCCTAAACGGGTTTCCAAATTGATCTACTCCTCCAACCAAACCCTAGATCTGGAATCTGGTCTCTGATACCACTTGTTGTGCAGACTCTCAAAAGAATGCAATAACCCCTCTCAAATTCGGCTCTATTTTTCTCTCTCAACACAGCCGTCTTTTCTCTGTTTTTGCACTCTGCACACAATAGCCTTTTCTCCCCTTTTCGTACTTGCACCCTGCTTCACGCTGCCAAAGAACAAAAGAGAAAACACTCTTTATTTCTCCCTGCACTCCTACACAGCACGCCGCCCCAAGTACAAAACTGGTTTTCTCCCACTTTTGCTTGCACACCTTTGCCCTAGGGACTTTTGCTATTATTTATAGCAAGTGAATCGGGTGGGCCTAGCTAATATCCGGTGGACCTAGCTAATATCCGCTGGACTTAGCTCTTCATGGAATTGCTTTCACGTGCACTCTTCACGCGGTTTCTTTCCAGCACTTGCACACTCGTGGCCCCCACAAGAAACACGTTCACAGTAATTATCTGGAACAATTAAAAGAATTTGTATATGAGTTAAAAAAGCAAGATGTAGGTGAGATGGTAACCAGTATGACAAATTTAGGAATCGAATTGTCTACATTTTCGCTAAACTTGCACATTTTGGTAGGAAAGTGTAACAACATGTTCTTGTTTATCTCTCGATATCAAGCTATGACAATGTATTTTTTGTATTATGCTCTATACTTTTATAATAATTGTCGTAGGACTTAAAACTCTAAAGTTGCAGTGAGGGTTAAGGGCCAAAATTACGTAGTCTTAACATTCTCACGTAGCTCACCGCTCACGTACGTTGAGGGATCTTTCATGGGCCGAAACATGGACTCATAAAGCAATTTTTTTTATTTATTTAAGTATGCTCCCTAAATTCATGACCAGTAAGATTAGTAAGATTTGCAAGTTGCTCTGATACCATGTTAGAGGACCCTACCATTGCACATACCTCTTACACATAAGTCAATAAATTGAAGAAGGTCCTCAAGCAAATATGGATTTCAAATATTTACATTAAAATGCAAATGATCTAATCTTCATCAATTTGCTACTCACCTTGATATGCACACATGAAGGTGGGGAGGCAGCACAAACACGTTGGCCAGCACCTACGTCTCCCATCATCAAGTCCTCAAGCCACGAAACTAACCACAGTCACAACCACGAGCATGAGCACGAGCACGAACACGACCATCACTACAACGAGCTTGAACATCACCACAAAAAGTCGGTTCTAGCAAAGGTGAAAGAAAAGGCGAAGAAATGGAAGCAAGTGCTTACCAAGAAGAAACATGGTCACGAAGGCGAAGGAAACATGACTCCAATGAGTCCAATCAATTTGGATGTAGATGACGAGGGCATAGACCAAGACCCCGAGTACTACGGCGCTCCAAGTAATCATCTATACTCATTTATTAATGTCTACATATATCTTAAGAGGGGTATTTGCGGATGCACCTCCTCAATTCATCCCTATTCTATTTTTTTAGCACATATCATTAAAAACATAGGAATGTCCTTGGCAAATGTCTAATTCTAACCATAATGTGATTACCACTGAAAGAGATCAAAAATCCTCAAAAAAGTAACCTCGTCTGAAAGCCGAGGATGTAAATGATAATTAAATAAAGGTTGACAAATAACCCCCTTATCTATGCATTCAGTAGTAGATAACCCACTTCAACTTATTTATTAGCGCTTTGCTCCTCTCAGTACGTTAGGAAGAGGGGTGTCACATGCAATTCTCTTGCCAGAAATGGCAATCCAGGGATCCTAAGGGCTAATAAGGGGGTTATCTGCTAATGAGAGTACATATGAAGGGGTTATCTGCAATTTACCGTAAAATAGCATAGGGGCGATTAGTAACTATGTCCTGTAGTAGGGGTGATACATCTGCAAATAATCCTAGATTACACTATCTATGCATCCAAAATCTTCTATTTTCTATACATTGATACATAACTCACAGACATGCACGGACGTACACAATCATGAAATTTATGATTTGACACAAAATTTCTGAAACCAGTGTACGAGTCCGAGACTGCACCTAAGATGTATAAGGAGCGAGCCCAGCGGCTTCAAGCATCAACTCCAAGTCCTAGAACACCAACACCAGTCCTTGATCACTCTCCAAAACCTGTCCTTAATCATTGTCCAGTGATCGATCTTCGCCCTACCACTCTCGTCGAGGCTCCTCCAACCACACATTCTCAAGAACCAAACTCGACATTTCATCATTCTGAAGCCACCAGCGAACCCAAGCTACATCACCTTGACTCATTTAAGGAATCATCAATGGAACTCAATTCGATGTTTCCTGCAAATTCACATACACTGGCGACAGAGACCAAAGTGAAAGAGGAAGAGACTGATAATGTAAAAATTAGCAGCAAAACAATGTCACAGACTGTAACAGAAATTTTAGCACCGGCATATAATGCAGTATCGGATGCTACCAGTAAAATTGCTGCAACAATACAGAGCCCAGTAGATGAGACAGGAGCAAAGATGATGTGGGATAAAGGCATATCGGTAAAAGAGTATTTATTGCAAAAATTGGAGCCTGGTGAAGAAGAGAGAGCTCTTTCTGAGGTTATCACCGAAGCCATCAGTCCGAAAAAATTAGGAGAGGAACTGAGCGTTGTTGAGAAAGTAAAGGGCGCTGTGTCTTCGCTCCTTGGAAAAGAAGAGCAGCAAATGGAGAATCAAGAAGTCAAAATTCATCGAACATCAAGGCCTCTCTTTAAACAAAGTGAGGACAGGTCGATTCTATCGCCTAAAGACTTATACCAGCAAGCTTCAATGGCTAGAGATGGTCATGGAATTTTGAGCACGGGAAATGCACATGCTCATAAAGTTTCTATACTAGAGCCGAAGCATGGTCGTGGAGATTCATCACCTCTTCCAGTCTCGACAAATCCTTCCGTGGTGGTTCCAGTGTCAAAAAATTCATCAACCATGTCAATGTCTATGAATCAGCCAGCAGTTTCGGTGTCAACTGTTTTGGTCTCTACAAACCCTCATGCAGGTAAACATATTTTACAACTTACTTGATGCTCAATATGGTTTCAACATAGAAATAATCTTCACTCGAACTTGGGCAGAAAATGCAAACCAATATGGATTCAGTGGACATATCCCCATCCTATCCGATCCGATATATATACAGCTGTGTATCCTGTCAGATACGGATATGGGTATTAAGTATCAATACCCCGCCGAATTTTGAAGCTTACATCTTTGGTTGGGCATGGATACAGATAACAAGATCCAGATATTTAAATTTGGAAACAGATATATTTTGGTGATTTAGGATTCTTACATAGATGTGATGCACACTTGTTGCAGGCTCTGATTTGAAAAATTTTATTGCATTTGGAAAAATTTTGTATCGCATCCTATGTACTTTCGAGCCTTACGGCTTTCCCTTGCATCTGAGATGCGTTCGTATTTGTTTTCCTCTCATCAGACCAACATTCATATCTGATTTTAGCAAATATATCTGATTTTGGCGAATATGGCTATAGGTTTTTCTTGTTAAATAGTGATATTCCACTGCAGATGTAGTTATTCATAATTTTGAGCAAAATAATAACGTTTCTTAAGCTTTTTCTTCCATTCTTTGTTGCAGAAGTTGAAGAAGCAAATGGAAGGAGACTCCAACCAAACTGAAGACAAGTAAAGATAAAAGACATTCTAGACCTCTGAATGATGCCAATAGCGGGCTCAGCATATATTAGAATAGAATGGATGCAGCCATTTATCCAAGTCAAGCTTCAGCCTGCTGTCTTGCTTCATCTACAATTTCCTTTCGTCAAGTTTATTTGTACTTTGTATATGTTTGGTGCAGGATATGTTGACTTTTTTTAATTCTAGTTACGATATTGTAATTGGGTTTTACATAGATGGATACATCATTTTGAATAACACAGGGAAAAAAAAATAACAGTGTATAAAGTTAAAATCTATGTATCCTTCATTTATAACAACCAATCCTCGCTCCATAATATATTTGGAGACTAGTGCTTGTACCTTTCATGTCGACTAATCCTAAGCATCAAATCCATTGGTGCAGATTTTATCTAATGTTTATCTTCATGTTTTCGGAGTAGTTATCTGTAGAATGCCGGCCAAAGCTTATTGATTCCACATGTGCAAGTAACCAACCTCCACCTGAACAATATATTAAACTAAAACATGATGTATGTATGTATAAAACTATGCTCATGCGTGTGTGGAGACCAATGAGACTAATGGCAGAGGAAAGCAAGAAGGTTTCTGGTCCTCAAGATCAAGAAGTCGTCAATCCAGGAGGTAACTCAATCTTTCGATCTATGCATGAACCTTTAATCCCTACTCTTTTAATTTGGTTTTTTTTATTAAGGAAAAGATTTTTAAAAGTGTAATCTGAGGGTGCTCTCCTTTAAAAAGAAACCAACTAAACATATATGAAATACAAGTTATTTCGAAAATAAAACCTACTTTACGATTCCTTGCTCAATTAATCATGAGCATATTTGTATCCGTATTCATGACCGTATACATTTATAACAAGTGTCGTATCCGATTTATATCTGATTAGTGTGCACCCCCTCAGAATCAGCCAGCATCCAGGACGCCATATTGGTCGGGGGC